GAAAAAAGGAGGCCAAGAGTCCAATGCACTGGAAATCCCTATGGAGAGCTCAGGTGCTGCAGCTGCCCTTGGGGCTGGCACTGCTGGTACCTTTGGAGGGTTGTATGGACAGGCTGTACTAGGCAAACCCCCCACAGGAACCTCAGAAAACAGTGTGGTGGGAGATGGAGGTGCAGGCAGATTTCCCAGGATAAATGAACCAGCATGACAAAAACAGGAAATGGAGATTACAATAAATGTTTTCATAGATGTATAGGTATATATGTGCTGCAGCACACTGACGTCTCCAGCACATAGCTATGAGCCAGGAGAGAGCTTGGGCTCTCTGGAAACAGAGCGGGGAGAAGGAGGGAGAACAGATCAAGTGCCCTGCCAGGCATGTGCCTGGCCAGAGTCAGGCAGTGACCTTAAGCACACCGCAGGTTGTGGGTACACTGGGCTGAAATGTTGGGACAGGGTGTGCCACGCTTCCTAGAGCCTTGGTGGTCAAGGGAATCAATCCTGTGTCCAGCTAGGAGCTGCTCTGGCAGCCAGAGGGAGGTGTGGAAGGGAATGGGGCAGAGTTAGCAAATAAAAGTCCCATTTGTGCAAAGGCTTCAGTCAGTGCTGCTGCATCCTTTGTTTCAGTGCCACAACCGTGGAAAATTAAGTGCGCCCTGACTGCGAGACAGAACAAACAGCGCAGCTTTGGATTTGACAAATGACACGTACACAACAAAGAGGACCTTGTACCTCGCTGCTCGCACCCTTTTCCCAGGAGAAGGAGGAACGGGAAGCCAAGTTCTGCACAGAAAGCGAGACCCGAGCCCCCCCTCCCCGCAAGGTTTCCAAATGACCTCCGCGTGGTTCCCTGCTCCGGGAGTGAAGCTGGGCCGTGGGAAGGGGCTGTTTCTGGAGATTTCTCCGGCTGTCGGGAGCACTGGGACCGGGGCCAGCAGCAGCCGCAATCTCGGCGCTGCGGAGGGAGCGCCCTGCCGTGACTCAGCACAAATCGCCCCTCGTGCCGCCCTTGCTCAGCGATCCCGGCCCGGCCCTGACTCAGCA